CCAGGCTGTGCTGCTGGGAAAATTAATAAGCAGGGACCAGGAGCTGAATTAAATTGACTTTGTTTAAGAGATGGGACACAGCTACTTGCTTGGGAGAGACCAGTGACGAGCTCTCAGCATTTGGAAGGGTTTTGTGAAGGAGATTTGTCCATATAAATTTTGGGGTTGGGAACTGCTGACTGACAGTACTTTGTGGGCCAAATTGGACACCCTGGTACATGTAATTATTTTAACAAATGTTTAAATTTGAAAGATTTTTTAAAAAGTTTTGAGTTCACTCTAAAATTACATTCATTTTTTTTCTGGAATAGTGATTTTTTTGTGTTTGGTCACTTCCTGAATAAAATTGGTTTTATATTATTTTTATGCAGAAGCCAACTCCAGTGATAGGTTCTTGGTGATTGTAATGAAATAAAATGTTATAAATGGCTGTTTTCTGTAGATGGCCTGTTCCTTCATATACTTCTTTTTAACACAAGATTCTGTGTGGTTAATTGGAATAAAGGGTAAAGGTGTCCAAAATGTCACCTAGAAGCAATGCCATTGAAAGACAGTGTTTAAAATTTATTTTCAACCGCAGCTTCAATTGCAGCAGAATATCAGGCTTGGATCGCCGCCTCTTATTATAACGGGAAGGAAACTGGAAGATGCAGGTGCAGTTTCTGAAGATGATGGATTACCTAGAAGCCCTCCTGATATTTCAAGCCTTCATGAAGTTCTGACGGATTTACCAAGCAAGGTAAAAGCATCACATCACTTCAGTGAACTCCTGCACAGAGAAGAGAATTTATTTGGAGTGGAGGGAGATCTTTTTGTTTGCTTATCATAAAACCACTGCACTCACTAAGATGTACTTTAATGACATTTTTACTCAGTTTCCTTTATGCAGACACACCTGTGAGGAATGAGCCTAATTTCCTGGTTCATTAAAGTTAGTTTCCACTAATGTTGGATTTAAAGAAGTCTCTGGTGAGGATCAGTTAGAACCAGAATGAATTACCTGGGTAGACTGTGAACTTGTCACTGTGAGAGTTAGGAAGAGAGAGTAGGAGAATTAGGAGAACTAGGAATCGGCCCTACGAATATCTGGGCACTGGTTTTTTTTATGTAGTACTTTGCTGGAGCAGTTGTGGATTCTCTCATTAGGAGAGAGGAGAAGGAAGAGGAAGGTCAGTTGTTATGACAACTTCAAATGCCTTTGGTCAGGTTAGTCTCAGCAGGCAGGATAATATTGCAGAAATCACAAACAGAGAAGTATTTAGGAGTGAATATGGTGTTACTGTGACTGTACTGCTTCCAATCCGCGAACAAGCTGAGGTACCTGCACTGCACAGACAAACTTCCCGTGTCTTCCAACTCCAACGTGGAGACGTTGGCAGTTTCCTGCAACCATAGAAGTAGATTTACTGTGTTTTAAAGCTAGTGAAAAAAAATAGTGGGGTCTGTAAGAATATCTGAAATAGTTATTCTTTTTAGGATAAAATAGCCCAGAATTAGGGTGATTTTAGCTGAGTCAACAGGAAGGTAACAGTCCTAAGTGTATATTGGCGCTCAAAAAGGGATTATGGGTTATGTTCTTACTGAAGAATTGCCTTCTTACAGCAGGTGCATGATTTGGGACTTGAGTAAGTATGAAAGCATTTCTACATTTGAATATCTTAAGCAAGCTACAACTTTAAAAAATATATTGGCTCTATTCCCCACTGAAGTATGTTGCCCTGTTGTGTATATATCCAGCATAGTGATTTTGTTCCTTGTGATTGCCACTGCTGTGGCAATATCTCACAGCAGGATAAAGCTACCCTTTTCTATGTCTGATCCCGATGAAGGGATGAAACCTACTCTCTGAGGTAGGGAGTTTGCAGTGATCCTTCCTTCATCTTTCCTCTTGTTTTTTTTTTTCTCATAATTATCCCAGTATATTGAGTCCCAGAGAAAGCTGTGTGTTACTTTCCTTGACTTACCCTCTTCCTTATTTTATCCCACAGTCCTCCAACCTTGTTCAGCGTCATAGCTCTTTGAGTTTAGGTGGCACAGACAGTGAAGATGAACAGGTAAATAGCTATTCTTCCTCCTAATAAAATTTCCTGAGACAGCATGTATGATGTCTGTATGGAGCCAATACACTATGCTTTTTTACCTATTCTGAGTAAAATATATCCTGTCAAGCAGTTCATGAACAGTGCATAATAGGTGCAGGGCTACTTAGGATGAACCTCTCGTAGACTTTTGAATAAATTTCAGTAAGTAACAGAAATCTGTGCTTTGTATGAGCAGAATAGCCTGTAATGCAGTCTGACTTTGTAAAGTTGCACAACCGAAAATTGGACATGGTGTCACAGACCTGCAAGGTAGTGGGACATGAACACAGCAAAGCAATTCACTTCTTCCAACCCCAGGACCCAAATGGCCAACAGTTGAAAACCATCTGTAGCAGTTAGCTGCTTTAGTGACTATTTTTCTCTTCACTGGAATTAAGTGGAGGATCAGCCCTTCCCAATTCCACAAGCAAAGAGCCTGAGTTAATTTGAAGTTTATTTTGGATTATGAGAGATCTTCAGCAGCAGCAGGTCTTGCTGCAAGTCCAACACAGTCTCTTCCCTGACCCAGCTGGAACAGTTAACAGAGGTGATACTTTTGGAGAGGAGCCTAAGGGACCTTTCACCTTGACTATCCCTCCTGCATGGACATAAACCGAGTTCTGTCCACCTCGTGTTTTCAAGGCAGATCTGTGAGGTTTGCATTTGTTATCCTCCTCTCCAGCATTGGTATAATGTCTAAAAGACTTGCCAGACCTCAGGTATCACTGGCAAAGGCAGCAACCACTCTGATAAAGATGCTTCAACTCAAGGGATAGTTCTTGCTATTTGAACAATCTAATCTGCAAATTCTTTATTTTAATAGTGTAAGATCACAGCTGTTTGATTCCCCAGAGCAGCATGGCTCTAAGGGGGAGATCCACATCACTCTGCCTAAAAGACGTTTCTGGGCTGCTTGTTGGAGAGAATCATTTGATTTTTCTGGAAGAGTGGGTATTCCAAGAGCAAAGTGGCATTAGTGACTTTCTTAGAAATAAAACTAATGAGGAAAAAATAACCATCCTACTTTTGTGGCTTTATAATAACTCATTCCTGCAATGTGTCTCATTATCAGGATGGAAAGGCACTTACAAAAACTGCACCAGTGTCTCCTGGTGGTTCACACATAAATTGCAAATAGCTTTTCACATAAGAACTGGGAAGGAAAATTGACGGTCTTACTGTAAGGGAGGAAGAGCCAGATATTTCCCATTTCTGTGTAACATACAGCTAAACACACCAAATGGAGTTGAAAGCTTTGCAGAAGTGATATTAGACATGACTGTTAAAAGTGAGAATTTAATATAAAAAATAGAGCCATTTTCAGGCTTCTGAAATGGAATGAGCTAGCAAAGGAAACCCACTTCAGAGGCATGGGGAAGAAAAGCCAAATGAATAGTGCTGTGTTTTTGTTTTACAGATAACTTCTGGAGATTCCTCTAGGCCCATTAGTCCTTCATCCTCTGCTGCCGTCAGTGCTCCAGGCTCACGAGGCCGCAGCTTCCTGCCCGTTGACTTCACCATCCCTGCCAGTCCCATGGGCTGCCTGGACACCTCGGCAGCCAGGCACAGGATTGCCATAAACCCCCGGAAGCAGAAAGGCTTTGCCAACAAGAACCAGCAAACCCAGGTAGGTCTTTTCTGGAGGAGAATCACTCTGCAGAAGGAAGTGGATGAAAATGCAGCGCTGAAGGAAAAAGCTAATTGTGGGGAGGCAATCACAGATCCAGAAGTGATGATAATGTGTCTGGCTTGCTCTGTTCTGTACAGGCACCTGACTAGGATGACACTTTAAAACATGCTTATTCCCTCAAAATACATTAATCCCAGAATATTTCGGAGATTCGGGAGACATCAGTGGCCTGCCTTTGATATTTTAAAACATGGATGATTTCTAAGTTCTTAATTGGAACAACACGTTACCTTACCCACAGTGTTGGTAAATTGCAGTATGGGGATTTTGTCTGCATATATTGTGTATTCATAAATATGTGTCTGCATATAAAACATAAACTTTGTGCATAATTCTTTAATTAAAACATCTTACTGCACCATACTAGGTGGACCAGCTGGAAAATGAAGCATGTTTTCCTGCAACTCCAGAAAAGAAGGGAAATTCTACAGAATTTCTTGAGAGTGACCAACATAAAAATGATTGGGAAGGTAATGCAGATTTATGAATTGCTAGCTTTATTGCTTGAACTCTTCTACACATGGTTAACAATGGAAATCCTATCAAGCTAGGTACCTTTCTTGGTTTTATACCATAAACCCAATCTTAGTTGCTAAACTGTGATGAAGAAAATGTCATGTGCTCCATGTTGGCCTGTGTCTATTATATCTTCTGTTGCTACCTCCTCTTCATATTCTTTGAATAATAGCTAACTGTTAGTAGTAAAACAATTATAATTGCATATTATAAGAAGAACTGAAATTTCTCTAGAATGTCATACAACCTTTTATCTTTAGCATTGTATTATGTGGTAATGCTATGTATGTACATATATATGCATACATACATGGGAATCCTTGCACCTTGACATCAAGGAGACTTGGGATGTGATGCTTTGAGATTTTAAGCGTTTCAAATCCAGGGGATTAGTGTCTGCTGTTTGGATATGAAGCAGATGGGCACTGAGGACTGCTGCTGTTTCAGAGCAGTGAGTGACAAATGGAGCACACAATTATCATCTATCTGATAGTTGGGCGTCTATGGCTCATTCATAAAGGGCTTTGAGATCTGCTGGTGTAAAGATCTGTACAAGATTTGTGTAGTATTATCTGTGATTCCCAATGCATTTAACATGGACTGTGAGTTCAGTCTTGAAGGACACAGCTCTCCAGGCCAGGCTCCATCAAAAAAACAAGAAATGTCATTCTGGATATCACAGACCTGAGACTGGCCTTGCAGCCCTGTTGTTTGCTGTCATATTTCTATCCTGAATTTCCCAGACAGAAATTTGGCTCACCTCAGTACACCTCACTGGGTCTCAGGTGCCTAGAGAGGGTTAGATTTATGGTACACACTCTGCATGCTTGAGGTAGAGTAAGTTCACACCCCAGAGCAGGTGCATGCCCAAATCACCTGAAGCCCAGGAGCCTGCTGCTTCACAAATCTTCAGACTTAGTGTGTGTGGACAAATCTCAGCTGTCCAGACATTCAGCAACCCTGAAAATGGTTTTAATACCAGTTTAGCAGACAACAACATTCAGTCATTCCTAGGCTTAGATATATTCAAACTACAAAGTATTAGTTTCACCAGCTGGGCAGACTATTTCTAAATATACTTTTAGCAGCCTTGTAATGGCAGGTAAATAAGGGTAGCTCGTGCTAAATGAGTGCAGTGTCTAGAATGAATTAGGAATATGGGTGGTCCTTGAGTAACCTTAAAATGCACACTTCTATTTAATAAAGGCTTATCAACCCAGGCAGTACATGGTGCAAGGAGAAGTGGATTTAAGGAGACACCAACTGTAACAAGTTCCAGTGTTGCTGCTCCTGACTCTCGTGATTCCACGGTAGTGGTAGAAGATTTCTGTGCTCTGTTGCAAGAGGAAGCATGTCCTGCAGGCACGGGCTGTCAGAATAAAGCAGCTTCTCCAGCGAGCATGGAGGAGCCCCAGAGAGCGGAGGTGCTGTTCTGCTTGGGTGAAGCTGCTGGTGAATTGAAATTACATCAGGAAAATACCAATGCTGAAGTGTCTGCACTTTGTAAATCTCAACAAACGAAAGCAGAAGCTGTTTTGTTACCAGACATACTAACAGATGACTTGTTTAGCAAGGGCACGGAAACTCAGGACATAAATACATTGGCAGATATTGCACAGACGTCATCAGCAAAATCTGAGAGCCACAAGGACAGAGACTGGGAGAAGGAGGATCCACCATTTACTGGCAAAATAGAAGCTTGCCTGGGTCCTAGTGAAAATGAGTCCATCCACTCCGACTCAGATCCAGCACTGACCATTTCTCAGGTTGCTCTGCCCAATTCAGGGACTGCTTTTGAAGAAGTGGCAGTGGCTGTTTTGATTACTGAAAACAGCTCAGGAACAAGAAATGATAAGGAAACTAGTGAAATTAGGGAAATGAGGTCATACAAAGGCAATGCAGAAACCAAAAGAGATGCTGCTGCATCTGTCCTGGAAGCAGATTGCATGCTGACCCCTGGTAAAGTGGATGCATGCTTCAAAGCAGAAACTCCTTGTCCTGTTTCAAAGGGTAACGAAGACAGTCAGCAAACCAGCACACCATATACTTTTGAAAAACCGTCCATTGGATGTCTGGCCTCCTCAAGTTTGTTTGGCTTGAAGAGTAATATCTCTTCTAATAATGACAATAAGGAGTACCAGTTAAGCAGTACAGCTTCTCACACAAAAACAGTGAGAGAGAGCCCAACTTTGGAAGAAAATATAAAAACTCCACTAAAGACTGCTGCTGCTAAACCAGTCAGATTTACCATTGCACCAGCATGGCAAAGATCTCTCTCAGGGGGTTCAAATTCAAAGGAAGATTCTTACAACAGAAGTTCCCCAACCTCCCCTATAAGACCAGAGTTGTTTGAAGGCATAACAAAAGAGCACACACATTTTGATGCTGTCATACAGGAGTCTGCAAAAAACAATTCCAATAGATGTGGTCGCGATATTAAGGACAGTGACAGACATTCAAATTCTTCCTTGGAGTGGGCTGACCACGAAGCACAAAATGTTGAAAACCCGTTTGGTGTCAGACTACGGAGAACATCTTCATTACTGAAGTACCAGAGTGAAAGTCGTGCCGAGAATCCAAAGCTAATCCCCTCAGCTGCTCCCGCTGCTCCTTCAGTGTCTGTCAGTGAGGATCAGAAATCAGCTGGCTCTGGGAAGCCATCCCCAGGCCTTCCTGTTAGCACAAAATCATTTGTTAAAAAATCAGATCTCCTTGAAGACAAAAATCCGCCCAAGGCAAAATCTGAAGAATTGGCAAAGAAGGAAAATGGTAGTAAACCTTCAGGTATTTACACTGTTTTTGTCCAAACATTATAGAAATTAATGGCCTTCTGGGACACTTGGCAGAATAGCAAACAAAAGAACTCTCTTGAACAGCCCTGAGTTCATCAGCACTGTAATTTAATTGGTTTAATAATTTGGCCAGTTAGGGGAGTTCTTGGTTTATCTTAATGGTGGGTGTATTCCAGCAAGAATAACAAGAGAATAACAGCTTGAGGGCATCTGAAATGTTTTTGGTATGACCTGCTTCTACAATCAGCTAGAGTTTTTACATTGTTTTTTAAAACTTGCTGCTGTTTTGTAGTTAATTTTTCAGATTATGACAGCTAAAACTTAACTAGGAATTGTATTATGTGTGATTTTTTTTTTCTTTAATCACTTGATTTAAAATACTAAAAAGGTGAAAGGGCGTGTTTTCCTGCCTATATGAAAAAATAATGGCTATCAAAATCATTTAATCTGCAATGTAAGGATGTTGTTTCAAAGGGAAAATCTGGGTTGCGATGGTCTCAGTGGGAGTTCTACCATTGACTAAAAGGGAAGCACGGTCAGGCCAAAAACTCCAGGATAAACAGAAAAACAGTTATTGCCAAGGACAGAATCATCAGAGAAGGTAATTTTATCTCCATGCTGTTCAAAGGGTATTACAGATGCTGAAGGATTTAAAGCACAGAACACTAGCTTTAGGCTGACTTGACCTAAATCCTTTCCTCACTTAAGAATTTTTTTTTTTAATAGAAAAAGTCTCCATTCCACATTCGGAAACTGCTTCCTCTGAACCAGCTTGGGTCTCCATGGCAAAACTAAAACAAAAAGGTTTCCAGGGCCACCCTCTTGCCAAAGAACATAAAGCTGAAGACAAAGCATTGACCAACACGGATCGCAAGGAGGTAGAGTATAGACTAATGCCTCTCCCTGAGGGCTGCAGGGAGTTGCAGTAGCTTTCCCAGCACTGGTGACTTAAAGGCAGCATCCAGTGCACTGCCCTAGAGACTATTTACTGGCAGTTTGGTTCTCCACTTCCTCTGCACAGATTACCTGTGCAGCCAGGGCAAGCCCTTTGCTTGCCCCATCTCTAAGACAGAGGGGAGAACCTGCTTGCACGTTTTGCAAGCCCTGTGTTTATAACAGCTGCCTTCTTTTTCCCCTCTGCCTCCCTCCCGCAGGCTGTTCCCAGCCATTCCGTACTGGCTTTCGGTGCATTCCTACAGTCAGGTTTTCAAGCTGCTTCCAGGACTCTGAGGGCAAACTTTGAGTGCAGGTGCCTGGTGGGTTCCTCACTTGCATTCATTTCTCCTCTTCCCTCTCTTGTAGCCAGCGAGTGAGAACGTGTTGAGGAAGAGCATGCCTCCCACCTTGAGCTCGCAGGAGAAGAAACAGCAGATGAAGACTAGCGTGTCTGCTGCAGCAGGTATTCTCTTTCATTTGCATCTTTACATAGTGGCTGCAGTTTTCACCAGGAAACGGTGAAGGTGGTCGTAGCAGGGGGCAGATCGCTGCTTTTTTGGTAATCAGCACACTTTATACAAGGGCTGTTCAGAAAATGGTTTGCATATAAGACAATGCACTGCCTTGCTTGCTTGCCAGGGAAGGCGAAAAAAGAACTTTTATCTCTACTGCCAGTTCATGAAGGACCATATAAACAGTACGATGATTTACTATTGGTAGAGGTCAGTACTAAAAAGTGTTTTCCAGGGAGCAGTTGAAGTTGGACAGTGTCCAGAAGAAAGCAGCAAAAAAAGGTCAGGTCTTCTGGACCTGCAGTCATCAGGAAGTGCTGATGGGAGTGGAGTTGTTTAGTCTAGAAAAGAAGACTTAATTTCCTTCAGAGTGAGGACTTAAAAATGCATCAGGGGAGGCTTAGCTTAGACATTAGGAAAAGCTTTCTAACAGTAAGGGTGTTGAAGTGTGACACAGATTGCTTGTAGAAGGTGTGCAGTTTCCATTGCTGGGTGTTTTTGAAAAGAGGTGAGTTCAACGTGCGTCAAGAATAATTCAGGTAGAGTCAGTTCCGCCCTCGGGAGAGCAGCGAAATTGGATGGTCCCTCTTCTCTGTGACTGCAGAGGGATGCAGGGGAATAGTGTGACTCAGACATCGTGACTCACGAACCTCTCCCAGGGCTGCTGCTGGGCTGCAGCTTATCCTCCCCTGCGTGCTCAGCGTGGTGCCAAACCTCAGAGACATGCTCCAGCTGCATACAGATAAGCCGGTTCTTCAGCTGTAAAAGCATTTTGTGCCAGCTGAAAGCTACTGATTTCAGGTGCTCCTTAAGAAAATAAGATCTGCTGCACTGTGTCAGAGCAGTGGCTCGTCTGATCCACGCTTGTGTCTGCCCCTGGCAGTAAGGGATGCTGTCTGGAGAGATCCTGTTTTTGGGTTCTGTGAACTGTCAGCGTTTTCTTCTCCCTTAATGTATGGTTGAGGTTTTGTGTGTGATGCACACATCCTGCACTCAGCAGCAAGAGGAAGGACAAGCGAGTCCTTCCTCTAAGTCTGGAAGAGAATTTCAAGAAATCAGATCCTTATTACTATACTGAGTGTGACTGTTTCATTATGGCTGCATAGCAGCCCATGTTATAACTAAGGGGAGATTACTTAGCCTAAATCTTCTCTTTCTCTCTTTTGACCCTAGGCACAGTGAGGCATGTCCCAAAGCCTGTCTGCCCTCAAATTTGCATGTGCCACCTGGTTTTTGTTTTACCCTAAGCTGTTGAAAGCATGCAAAGGAGTTTGAGACTCACTTTTGGTTATTACAAAGAAGAAAGTCTCCCAAAGCGTGCAAGTCCCCTTCCAAAGTCAGATTTTCAATAAGACATAAGTTCATTTCTGACAAATGTAGTGTGTATGAAGAGCTGCAGCCTTTTCTTACTGGACAGTATACTTCCTCCAGTAGTCCTAAGTAGTTTGCCCCTTGCAAGAACTACCAGGATTGTAAAAAACACCAGAGACCTCCTGGGCAGAGGTAAGAACTTCTGTGGCTTTGCCCAGGGGTGTGACTAGCAAAGCTGAGGGCATTTTTCATTAATTTAAATACAGGCAGGCTCAAAGTCCATGAACTTAACACAGCTGAAGGTCCCCATATGGCCTCTTGCGCTGGAGCACAGCAGTCTCATCTTGTCTGCCACATACTTCACACCAATTAATGAAGAATGAGAAAATGTTTGGGTATTTCCCAGGCTCTGACTTACACATGGAGATATAATATTGCCTGGTTTGGAGTGGAGGGAGATAGCATGCACAGTATTGACAGACTTGTGAACTGTGTAACAAGAAATGAGAGGTGCTTCTGTTCAGAGCTGCATTGCAGGCAGTCTGTCTGAAGACATCCAGCTTGAAAACCTCCAAACAGGATGGATGGAAGAGGCCTTTTGTAAATGGTTGCTTGACACCAAACTAGCAGTATTGCCTGCATTCCTCCTTCCTTTCTGAGGATGAGAGGCTTATGTTAGGCTGCATGAAAAACAACATTTAAGCCCACAAGCATCCGACCTTCTTGGTTTACAGATCCAAGAACATAAAACATTGATTTGACCCTATACTTAATAACGTTGCTGGAGTAGGAATATTTGTGCTCGCAGTGAAGACTGAAAACCAAAGCTTTAGACTTCTCATTGTTGAAAAACAAATACCAGTTTAACGCCACAATGAACCTTACCCTGCAAATGCTCAGCTTATTCTTTCCTGCACGCTCAGGATTCACTTCTAGATCTTCTTGCACTCAGACCAGAATAACCCTGTGGAACTCCTTACTGTGTGCTGTCCTGGCAGCTAAGAGCTTGAAAGGAAGGAGAGCAGAAACAAGGAATAAGCTAAGAATATGAATAGCAAGAATATCTGGGACTATAATCTCCACACATTTGAAGAGTTTGGAAGAACTTTATGTGTCAAGAACTAGATACTTATCTCTTGTGCCTCAGGAGAAGATTCCTTTCAGGGCAGATTATTCATTGGCAGTTTAGAATCAGTTTTTCCATTGCAATAGTTAGTCCTAGCCATTGTTGCAGCTGGACCAGTTTGTGTTGGCCATACCCAGATCAGGAATTTCTCTTGACTTTTATTGAGTCACAGACATTCTGGATTGTGAAATGATTGTGTGAAAGTGAGGAAAAAAATACAGAAATTGAGTTTTGACCATTTAGCCTTCTGCTGAGTGATGGATATCTTCTTGTTGGCAGGTAAAGTTGGACCTATTGCTCAGGAAGCCTCTGTGATTCCTGCTATTGAAAAGGAAACACGACCCTCCTCTAACCTGCCAATGACATCATGCAGCCCTGTTGAACCACCATGGCTATCCCTGGCCAAGAAGAAAGCCAAAGCATGGAGTGAAATGCCCCAGATTGTACAACAGCAAATGACCTGAGCATCCTGCTTTATATTGCCAATAGCTGCATTAAGTCCCTTTAATCACTTCTTTACTGTGACTATTTTTGAGAAATAAGAGCCTTAGAATTTCTGTCCATACTGTTACATGTAAACAATGAAGAAATACCATTGAGGGCTTAATCTGAAGTAGCAAGGAGCTGAGTATTTCCTACTACCAAATACTAGGAACACTTGATCAGTTTATGTACTTACATGGTTGACTAAAAGACATTTATGCTCTAAGAAGATATGCTTCAGGCTTTTTAATGTTTCCCTTTCAAAATATATTTATAAAGTTTCTACTAACCATACAGTATTTTATGAAATTTGGCTTTGGATGGGAAATTAATGTGTGCTTATAAAATAGATGTACTGCTCCGCACTGACACATCATGACCCATGGGCACTGATGTCATAACACTTCTCTATCTGATGCTCTGAGACAGGCAATCTGACCTTGCTTCTCATTGTTAATGCATCTATTTTATGATAGCTATAGGATACAAACAGTAGTGTGAGGTGGAGTGATTCTATTTTTCAGGTGGTTTCAAACCAAGGCATTAGCCCTTGGGCCTTGTGCTCTGGTGGCTGTTCGAGTAGCCCAGAGCCAGCACCTCCTGCGCTCTTGCATACACTAGAAAACCACTTCTTTCAAGAGCACCCTCTGTTCTTGGCTGCACTTTTAGAATCAGTGGATAATTACAGATTGGGCCTTGTCCTTTAATTATGACAAGAAGGTTTTTTTTTTTTTTTCTGTGTGTGAAATTCTTCAGTCAGTTGTCACTCCTGAAGAGTGTGTTGGAGAATGGAAGTAATTACAGTCCAGAAGCTGACATCTTTGCAGCAATCACCACTGCTGTCGATGTTCATATGGCTATGTATTTAGCTGTATTTACTGTAATTTATGAAAGGTCATCTCATTTCCTCCTTGTCTCATCTTTTTTTTTTTTTTTTTTTTTTTTTAAACCAAAAAATCAACATCCATCTAAAAATGTGCATTTGGGAAAGGATTATTCTTTTAGGGCCTAGCCTCGCAGTCACTGAATGAACAGGAGTTTTGCCATCGAGTTTGAAGGGAGCAGACATTTGAAAAAGAAATTTGGAAAGCAGTGGTAGCAGTTTAAATGGCAATGATACTTACTATTCCTTTTTCTTTTTTCTTTTTGCAGAATTGCACATTTATAAAGTAATTTTTGTTTATAGTCAAGGCAGAATTTGAAGGCTGACTTGGCTGATGGACTGTTTTTAGGTAGGTATGCTTAAGGAAAATGTTTTCTATTGCTAAGGTTAGCAACAAAGCAAAAAATTTGGTTTCAGATCAGCTCATTAATAGGAATTTAATCTTACAATTCTGTCCCAAATTTAAATATCCCAGAATGGTTAAGGTTGGAAAGGACCTCTAGAGATCATCTAGTCCACCCCCCTGCTCAAGCAGGGACGCCTAGAGCACGTGGCACAATATATAGCTTTTGAAATTTGAACATAGTATTAAATAAGAATGGACTGTGAAATATTTTTATATAGGTGTAAACTTAATAAAATAACTCCACTGAAGCTATAGATTCTGCTTATCTATATTAACTCCAGAAAGAGTAAGGGTTTCACAATCTGGTAATATCCAGTCCTATATAACTACTTGTTTCTCTCTATTTTAAGAAGCATATCTTCTCTTGCAAAGAACAAAAATATTTGTATTTCTCTGAATAATGTAAAAGAACATACTAAACTTTAATTCCTGAAGTTTTGTATAGCTGACATCCTCTCACAAGCTCTCTGACCCTCTGTAAAATACATGCTTTTCTATATTCTGCAAGTTTTCTTGTCTTTGTTACTATGGATTGCGTTCCTTCACCTAAAGTGCTGCAGATGATACTAAAATCCCTCTTCCCATGTGTTGCTTTTGATCTTAATATTGATTGTCTGTTATGTTGAATATGTATATATGTTTTTTTTTTAATCCTTGCCTTGAAGGAGCCCTTTTTGTATTCTATTCCTGTATTTGATTTACTATTAAACACCGCTATTAGTGATGGTGATATAATTCCTGGGAAAATAAGAGTAATTGATGGTCTTCATTTACTAAGGAAAAAAAATGTAAAAGGCTTTGGACGCTATAGAGGCTCTATATGGATATACTGCATAGATCTTATTCTGGGATGATTTAACCGTGTGGCCTAGGATTGATCAACAGCCTTCCTCGGATACTGTGGTTATGGACTCAGGAGCTTTTCTAGATCTATTTATGGGAGTTTATGGGACTTTAAAAAGCCTGAGCTGATGGCCCTCCTTTTCTGGAGCTACTGCTCCTCCAGCTCGTGGCTTGGCTTGAAGGCCAATGCTCCTGCTGTCTCAGGAAGCCTTGCAAATACTCGTGTGAAGGTGCTTGAGTATTGCTGAGACAGGACACAGTCTCTGTCTTTGAAAATAAGCTGCCCTGAAGTGCAGAGGTCATTGCAGAACGTTGCTGTGGGGTTTTGTGGCTTGAGCCTCAGTGAAGGATCCGGAGGCTCTTCCTGGGGTTCCTGTGCACAGTGCAGGCCCTGGGCTCTAAAGTGACTTCTGTGCGAAGTGACAGCAGAGGGTGCTAGTGCCATCCCCAAGGAGCTCGGAAGGGTTCGCGGAGCCGTGGAAGGCTGATTTCAGCGTGCATTCACTTACAGATACGCTGTTCCAGCAGCAGCAGGCTGGAGGCTCTCACTGATTCAGAGAAGAAGAGTCTAAGTGGGCTGGTGTTTCTGCTTGTGACTTGACTGGGTTTAATGAACTATAGGATATAGGAAAACGCTTCATCCAGTTGGTACAAGAAGCCAATGAGAATTGGTGACAACCATGGGGAAAGACAGCTTGCATGGTGACTTCAGTCCTGTGCAGGAAGATGTGTGAACATAACCAAAAAGGGCATTTGCAGTTTGGTATTTTAACGCTGCTGGTGCCTGGCTGGAAGCCGATCATCCCAGCTAGATGCAGAGTCTGATGCTTTTACAGGGGAGACTGGAGAGACAAACAGCAACTTGGCAGACACGAGGAGGGTGAACACGGTGATTCCTGCTACACTGACATTGAACTAACTGCACAGGCTCGGGCTAAAAGAGAATCTGCTACCAACCAGCTGCAGTGTTGGAATTAACTAGGTTTATGGACAAGAGGAATCAGACCAAAGAAGGAAAAAGACTTGAAAACCTCCAAGCCACACACTCTTGCCCCAGCACAACTCTGACAACATAGTCATTACTAGTGAGTACACATCATCTTCAGTAGCCCTAAATAATTCACTCTAAAATACACATATGACTCCGGAGCCAAAACTCATTTCAATGACCATAGTTAGAAGGAAGGTCTTGGAGTATTTGGGAATTATTAACCACACTGAAAGCACTAGCTTTTTTTCATGTGAGAACGTTTGAATAGAGAGGGTCCCCTTAACTAATATTATATTGTGTCTTTTTAAGTGCAGTGATTTAGAGTATTAAGTGTAGTTAGTTTGTCCAGAAATATTACAGAAGAAGTTCTAAGCTTAGGAAGGCAATAACCGCTGAATGGTCCCACCAGCTCTGGCAAGTGCTTTTGAGACTGCTAGAGGAAAGACACTGGCCTTTGAAGATACTTCGTTGTCTACAACCTGTTCTAGAACTGGTACCTGGAGCGAACTGTAATCAGAGAGATGATTAGCAGCCTGATGACATATAGCAGCCTAACAAGATACACATCTCTCTCTCTGTTTTCCTCTAGTGTGTTTTAGCCTACATGCTTTTATATTAGAGAGTTTCCTTGTCATAAGATTTGACAGACGTGTCCCGTCTACCAAAATGTTAGTCACCCAAATGTTAGCAGTTAGTGAAACATGCCACATCTGGGACATTTGAGCATCTGTTCAGGATCGTGGCCTTGGTTTCGCGCCAGCTAAAGCTGTTGCGTTCTGTATCTTTTGTGCTCTCAGGAAGTGCTTGTACCCACAGCAGCACTGCTTGTTACAGCTTTTTGCTTTTGTTGCTGGATGGATTAGCTATTGCTGCAGTGATTGGGGCTGGAAATGGTTTTCTGTTTAACATCCTCTGTGGAAGCAGGCAGGTGAAGTAGAATTCCAATTCTCAACTCAAAATGCACAAAACCATCCATGAAGAGGCTGCTCGTGTGTTTCAGGCTGGCTGGCTGGAGGGGCCGAGCTGGGTGAAGGTGAGAGGCTGTTGAAGAATGACACTTGAAATTGAGAAACAGAAAAAGTGGGAAGCTACAACGGAAATTATTTTTGCCTGGTGGGATGTGCCTAAGACCAAGGAAAGATGTTGAGAAGGGGGCTCTGAGCAGAAAAGTGCTTTGTGCAGGACTTGCTATGTGCTCGCAGAGGAATAGAAATGTGCTGGAGATGCACATGGCCAAAGTTGGAGCCAAAGTTTCACAGCTTCTGACTTGCAAGGCAGATTGCTGACTACTGAGGTGTGAGATGCTATTGTTATTATTAATGTACCAGGAGGGGGTTAAAAATAAGATTTTTTTTTAATGGCTGTTTATTTGATGATGCAATGGAAAGAAGAAATCTACAGGTACAGGTGTGTAACTGTCAAATATTAGACTGATCTGTAAACCAAATGAGCCATTAAACAAAGCCATTAACAAGTAGGTATGAAAATGCATGAGGGTGTAGAATAAGCAATTGACATCACAATTTCCCATGATGTAAAGATGAAGAGGCAGCAACAGGGATTGATAAAATAATCCATGTGCAAAGGCAGTTTGGTACCTAAAACTGCCTCAGTCCAGCCATGTCTCCCTCAGGGTTTTTTGTTGTTGTTGAAAAAGCTAGTTTTTCTCTCAGTCTTACTTTTTATTTGTGGGATAAAAAAACATTCACTCTTTAATTTCTTTTATAATCAGTCATACTTTGTAGGAATCTTCAAAGATCACTGTTACCTACTTTAATAAGCAATTTAAGCTAATTATATCACATTTTCCATACTGTCCCATTCTCACTTCCAGATTAGCTTTGGTTTGCAGGTATTTTTCCAGAGCAGAAGAATGAGGCTGTGTGTTTCAAAATTAGAAACTTTTCACACAGTTCAGAAATAGGTTTCTGTGGCATTTAAGTAACTTTTTCCAAATTACGCAGTAAGGTCAGTGTAGCAACAGCAGCCATGCATAGGAAAGGGCCTAAGTCCAGGAGGTGTTTTGTTTCCATAGAACTTAACTTGCTTGCAGCAGCCCTCCCTAATGATGCTGTTGGCACCGCAGGGAGCTAACGAGGCAGGAGGAGATGTTGTTGGC